AGCCACTGCACCACACCACGTACTAATACATGGTTTTAAACGCAACCTTTCTTTAAAGCAGTTTCTGTGTATTTTACATTTGGTAAAATCATGTCCTTGCCTATTGTGGCCTTGATACCAGCAGGAGAGGTATGAGGGATATACAGTACATGCTTTTTTCTGAAACCTGCTATCCACTTGGCAGTGACTGGAGGGGTGATAGGAGTTTTGGACCCACCAAAGTATTGGAGGTGGGTGTCACATGGCATCTCAAGAATATTCTGCCCACCACTGGGAGGGTCTTGGTCATTGTTGACAGATGAGGTTAGAACCCGTTTGCCTGAACAAGAGGGCTGAGCACTTAAAGGTGTGACCACTTGACAACATTTTTCACATTTATCAAATTTAGATATGGATGGGGGTTGCTGAGAGCACTGTCTTACTAATCTCACCCTATTTTCAGTGGTGCTAACCTGCCACTTGGGTTATATGACCAAAGCTTGAACACTTAATAAGAAAGCACAACTTGTTCTGGTAAGCACCTTTACTGGTTGAAGCACTCAGAGACCCAAAAGAACCATATTCCTGCTTCCTGAATAACATTCCGAAAGGCTGCATTAGTTGTGGTGTCGCAGTATAGAGAGTTGGAAAGAAAAGTCAGTCACTATATTGCGGGTGTATCTTTATACTAGGTTATTCTCCGTGATGAAAGGGATTGGGATTACTGGTGACAGTTTCTGCTCTTGGCTGTTGCGTGCCACAGGATGCATTTACATACACCCATTTCTAACTGCTTCATCCAATTCAGGGTTGAAGGGGAGCTGGAGCCCAGCAAAGACAGCAAACATCAGGCATGAGGCAGGATACACCCTGAATGGGACGCCATTCCAGCATAGGGCAGACACACAGACACACGATGGCCAATTAACCTGCCAGTATGTTTTTGGCATGTGGGAAGAAACTGGAGTATCTGGAGAAAACCCATGTGAAAATGGAGAGAACATACAAACTCCAGGTCTTGAATTGAGCAATGGTTAGCATACAGTTATACCTGTAAAATATAGAAAACCCACAATGCTGCAGTAGAAAATATATTATTTATTAATTGCTTTGTGGATAAATTAATGCCACTACATTTCAAAGTGCATTTTATACATTTTTTTTCTGTTCTGTGCAGCTGGAAAAAAAGCACTACACAACTTCTGTTTTGAAACGTCTCCATGCTAACAGTGTTCAAGGTCAACAGGCCAACAACATTGTCTCTGGGACCCTGTAAGTGTCCCTTAATATAGGTATTGGTGAAGGCCTGCAGTGAAGTCTTGCTCATTCCCTTATTGTTACTTGTATAATTTCACAACCCTGAACAAGCATACAGTAGAATAGGGCCCTAGTGTCCTTATTCTGGAGTGTTGCTGGTAAAACAAAAGGTATTTTTGTATTTTGTTTTTACCAGCTGGGCATTTCAGTATAAGCACTGTAACCTAGATCTTTCTTTTAAAACTGCAATATTCCCCTGATTGACGTTTAATGAACTGAAAAGTTTTAAGCTGCTTCTTATTTTATCCTTTAATGATACGGTGAAAACTATGGTCTCAAAAAGCTGAGCCATTAAAGGGAATATGAGAATCAAGAAAGAATACCTGAAAAGACTTTTGTCATGTAGACATTACTGTGAGTAAATGAGCCTTTCATATTTTAGGTATAAGAAATGATTTTATTGTAACTGATAAAATTTAAAATTTCTGAATAGGATTATTGAAGTTAAACATTAATCCACAGAATGTACAGGTATAAATTTGGTTTTGCTCCATTTTTATAGCCCTGTGTATTTTGCTGGAAACTACCTAGTTTATTAATTCCACCCCAATATTCTTTGGGACTTCATGAAATCCTTAAATTTAGGGATTTCTAAAATCACAAATTGTATTTTCTTATAAAATTGTACTGTGGCACACTATAGTGAAAGTAGTGTAAAATTTAGTAAAATATGGTGATGTGCTGTGGGATGCTGCTAATATAACATTGCTAGGACTTTCCATTGTGTAGAAAGCAAACTGAATGAGACATGGCAAACGTCTTAAGTTTGAAGGATTTAGATGGGCATATTTCACACAGAGGAAATAGAACATAAATTGTTTAGAGCATTTTTCCTCTGATTGTGTCACGCCCTCTGCAGCCAGAGGGCGCTCCTTCTCTGTCCTGTCCCTAGTTTCCGGTCTGCTGTCCTTCCTGTCCCTCTCTTTCCCTTGGGCTATATATTTCCGGGTCTTGCACTCTGTCCTCGCTCAGCATTGACGTTCGGATGTCCTGAGACCCGCCTAGCACCAGGGCGCCCCACGTCCGCTCCCTGAGGGCATAGGTTTCCATACGGCATTCCTGAACTCTTTGCACTAATGAGCCAGGGCCTTTTTCCCGTCTCGCCGCTACGCATATGGGTCGTTTTCTGCTCTCCTGCTCCCCACGGTTAGTCCCTTTGGACGCCCGTGACAGATTGCTTAAAAAATTACTTCATAACTTTAAGACATGCATACTTACTCCATTCATAAGAGCTGGTCTGTGTGGAAATTGTACTGTAATTGAAATTACAACCTTAAAAATTGAGAGGTTGCTTCATGAAAACCTGTAGGTGTTTAAATCCCCTAGAGATGGTCATTTTGAATAAAAAAATAAATTGTGAATTTTAAAAAGCAGAAGAAGCAGAAAGTCTTTTCACTGCTAAACGTAACTGCCACTTTCTGCTCAACAAGGTCTTTAGAGAGGGAGCACAGGTGTAACCAAGCAGCGTTGTTCGACTGGGGGAAAAGGCCTTCAGAGTGATGCGCCTTCCCCTTTCCATTCTTAAATAGGGTAAACAGTTCCCTATAGTACGTTGACTATGAATGTCACAGGATAGGAGCATTTTTGGCCACCACTGGATGCAATACAAGCTGAACCTTCTGCATGATTTCAATGAAGCTTCTGATGCTCTCTTGTGGGACTTTAATTCCCCTTGTAGAGCATGAAGAAACTTGGGCCTGTTCTCTCAACACTGTGCCTTAGATGCCACATGTAATCCCACAAATGCTCATTGGAACTCAAGTCTTGATCATGGTGGAACCATGTGGTCAGGTTGTTATCAATTACAATGAGTGAAGTTCAAGGATGTGTTATGAATTATGGCTTCCCACCTCAGGGCCTATTGTATGTAACATCTAGCCAGGTAAGAAATTGCAGTCAAAATTGTGTTCCCTGTGAAGTGTATTTAGTGTTTATCCTACGAATGCTTCCTGATGTGAAATGTGAATTAGACTAAAGTCTAGGATAATAGACTTTGTGTTGGTTTGAATTAGTGACGATGTTGCATGGATTGAACTTTAGTGGCCGTGCTGCTTGGCTGTGGTAACACAAGCAGAAACCAAATGCTTTGTGTTTATTTACAACGCAGTGATTAGAAAGTGGAAGAAACAGACTTGGCTTTGAGGCATGAGTACTATGGGAGATCTGCATACCCTTATTTCC